ATTACGTAAAAAAAAAAAAAGAAAAAAAAACGGAATAACAAATAACGAAAAAAGTCGAAATGGATTTCGTTAATTTGTTCGGTCAATTTCCACGAATTATCCCGAAGTGAACTCAGTCGCGGTTTTATCTCAGTCAACTCAGATTACACGTGGTTAGACGAGAGAGGGAAGGCAAACAATGAATATTCCTCTTGACGGATGTCCGTAGTAACGAAGTAAAGCGTGCGATTAACACCGAACTAATTTAATACCAACGTCACGGCTAATGAAGCCCGCACGCACGCGTGTATAGCAACAGGTATATCCATTCGATGTTTCTAGCGTTAGTTAGTAATGGCGGGATTAACGCGTCCTCTATTCGCGAGAACGAAAGAGCCAACCTCCTCTAATCAGAATCGTTAATCTTCGAGCATCTCGCGGAAATTTCACTTCGAACACCCCTCGTTTCATCATCCATTCCGACCTATTTCTATCTTCGTTCGTGAAAACGAGATGGATCATAATACGTCATAATTCCGTGCCTTGACGAGTCGGAAAGGGGGGAAGGGAAAATGGCGGATCTGTGATCCGAACGAAGGAAGGAGAGCAAGTTGGAGGATTCATTTTGTTTGTTTGCGTCGTGCGAGCATAGAAGGGGAAAGGAAAGAGAAAAATAGAAGAAAAAGTAAGAAAGAAAAAAGAATATTGAAGATTTGTTATTCGTATAGAGAAAGAAATAAATAGGAAAAATAAAAGGAGAAAAAGTAGAAAAGAAGAGGAAAAATGGAGGATGTGTATCTTGAACGAGGAAAGAATAGCAAGTTGAAGGATTTGTATAGAGAGAGACGAAAATAGAAAGAAGAAAGAGTAGGAAAGTTGACGAAAAAGGGGGAAATAGCGGATAATGAAGAAAGACAAGTTAGAAGGTTTGTTATTCGAAAATAGAAGAAAAGATAGGAAAGTTGACGAATCGAAAAGAACGGAAATGGCAGATTTATAATGAAGAAAGGCAAGTTGGAAGATTTGTTATTCGTATGCAAACAAAAAGAGAGAGAGAGAAAGAGAGAGGCAAATAGGAAAAATAAAAGAAGGAATAGATTGCTCGTGAGCAGACAGAGGAAGATAGAGAATTGACCAGTTTTGATGGGCGTCGACGCGAGAACGCCAATCAAGGGCCGTCATTCAGGCTTAATTAACAGGGTGGGAATACCGGGCCTACGATAAGGTCTGGGAGCCGCAGGCTTGTTCTGGTAATGACGTTGCAGCGTAATTATCTGATCGGTTGCCCGTTTCTCTACGGGATTTTCGATAAATACTCGAGCCAGCCTCCATCTTGTTAACGTTCGTCCATGAGATGGATCCTGATGGCGGCCCTCGAAAATTTGCCACCCAGATTCCCCCGTAAGGCAAATCGAATTTCCCTCTGCCCTTTCTCTCCGCCAATCGCATTAATTCGTTCAACGAGCGCTGCCAGCTCGAACGGATAACAAAGATGATTATTTGTCGAGATAATACGAGATCAAACGAAGCGATCCGTTTCAAATCGATAGATAATGAAGCGGATTTTATAATCATCGTTGATTAAATTTTAATAATTTGAACAGAATTTTCAACTCATGATTGAACTCTGGCACCTGTTTGATGAAGGAAATAGTTGAAACCATATTTTTCTATAAATATAATATTTTCTAATAAATAATAATAAACAAAGGGAATAATATACGTTTGAAAAGGATCGTGGCTTCCTCGCAAGCGGCAGAAAAGAATTTTCACAAAAGGAAATCGTTATTGAACAGATTCGGTGAAATCAGCGAGGAGAAGTGAGAAAATTGAATTTGAAAGGATTCCTTGAAAGAAATTATGATCTTTCATTCGAATACCGTCAAAGTCTATTTATTTACGTGGGTTAATAAAGGGGAGGGAGGAAAGAGTATTAAGATAGAGACGAAAGGGAGATGTAGAGAGGCGTTTAAAAGCGTGTTGGGCCAGAATTCGATGGAATAGAACTTTTTCTCGAGATTTTTACCTTAGAAACGATTAATTTAATTCAAAATAAAGCATTATGAGATTAATTGTAACCGTGAAAGCAGATAAAGATTGGCAATCTAATTTGTGAAACAGCATCCAGCTCTTTCAATTTTTAAGCAATCCTGAGAACACGTGTAAACTGTCGGCCAACGTTAACAAGTTTAATTACGCTCGCGCTATCTATCTATCTTCTTCTTTCTGGAAGGGTAAAGACGTTGTGTTAATTTTTGGGACATTTCATGGAATTAGATTTTATTACGAATATTTTGACAATTAAACGAAACAAAGAATCGTAGGAACTTCAATTCGTACATATTAAATTAAACTTTATACAATGTCTCATACATATATATATAATATATGGAAAAAAGATTTTTATCTTTCTGTACTTTTGAAATGGAATATTTAATAACAATTTGCTTCTCGCAAATATCCATGTGGGTTTTTAGCCGCAGAATGTAAATACAAAATGTATAAAGAGGAAAATATATACGTAGAAAATAAGACGGATTTAAACATTGTACTTGGAACTAGACTTTTGTGCACGATATATCAAATATAAAACGTTCATTGTTCGATTCAATGAGTATACTTTATTTTCATTTAACGATATATATTAACGATGTACCGTTGTAATAAATCACAAATAAATTTCTTAAGTCGTTTGGAAAGCGCTGTGTAAGCACTTTTCATTTCAATCCAGTCTGCTGAATCATTAAAGGTAATCAATTAAATATCGAACTTGGGATTTTTCAACTCGAACAACTTTTACAAATTTTCTGCAATAATTATTTAATGCGATTAAACGTAGTGTAAATTTTCAAACGTTTCTCTCCATTACTCTAAATCTCACCTTACAAGAAAAAGATTCTTCTAACTTTTGAAAATTCAAAAGTATCGAAAATGGAAGTATGTATCTTTGATGTACGTCCTCCATCAAATTATAACCTCGAACAATCTCTGTTACGATAAACTCTCCACTGTTCCCAAATTGTAACGAATTTCCCCGAATCGATCATTTTAACGCGTTTCGTATCCTCGCGTTCGAATTAAACCGCGTGATTCATCGGTTTTAGGTACACTGTCGTATCCTGTACAAAGGATAATTTTAATTTTAATCCCCACGTGGTAATAATTCGTTCTTTCGCTCCGTGTTCGATGTTCGATTTTTCGACCAGGATTCGATGCGCCGACCAATTCATCGCGCATCTCGAGAGGAGTGAAAAGTGAGCAAACCTATTCAGAAAGAGCAACGAGTAATTAAACGTCACGCGCACACCCTGCCGGCGCTGCGCGTAACTGTTTTCATTGCTTTCCCCCTTTATCAACCTCTTTACGAACCATCGTTTTATCCCGCGTGTCCGCCCGGTTTCACCGCGTCTCTTCTCAATTATCCACGCGCTCTTCTCGCGATTCGAAATAATTTTTCCAATTTTCGCTCGAGGAGTGAAAAAAGAATATCCGCGCGTACATTAAATGCTCGCAGAATATTTTGAGAACGGTGGGAAAAGAATCTCCTTCGCCTTTGAGAATTAATCTCAAAATTAATTTTTCAAAAATAATAACGTACTTACTTCTATGCCCTTTGTCCAAACTCGGATCTCTTCTCAGTTTTATTCTCCTCTTCGCGTTCACCCAGGGCGCTGCAATAAACGACAAAGTGTATTTGATATACATTTTTTTCTTTAATAGAAGGCTAAGGTATATATATATATATATATATATATATATATATCTTTTTCAACAAAGGAATGGAACGAGATTATCGTACTTTCTTTCGTACAATACAGACGCGTAACTTCCGCTCAATGTAGCGTAAAGATGATTTCGTTTATACCCGAAATTCTACTTCCGATCGATGCTCGTTCTCGCAGAAAGTGATTTGGTATATCTTAGCCTTTTTTTTTTACAAGCGTTGGACGTTTTTTCTCGAGAGATGGAATGAAAATCTATTGCAAGATCGATAATAAGATTTTGGAAACAATGCATGTTTCGAGGTTGCGAGAGAATTATTATTTTTATCGAGAATCGTGTCTGTTACGAAATATTCTTATTCCTTTTTTCTCGAGTTGATCGATTGAAATCTTTTAGAAAGATTATTATATTATCGGATCAGAGACTCGTATCTAACGGAAATTTTTCTTTTCGAAAGGTCTAATTGAAGTTTCTTAGACACAGGGAAAGGATTCTCGTATCCTTTTTTGCCAGGAATCTGTAAAATTTCATATACGTCATATACTAAATCCGTGGGAAATTGCGTCGAAAATAATCAGTTTTATCTTTCGGGATAACCTTCATCTTTCTTTATCTCTTGTCCACCTTGTTCTTTGTTTTTTCTTCGATCAAATTCCCACCACGGATATTTTTATTCTGTCGAAAGATGTCCGATAAAAGTTTAGAGGGAAAATAGATTCTCCCTGCTTTTAGCCCTTCTACGATATACTTATCGTAAAGAATAATAACATACGTTGTTTTTCCAACTTGCCATATAGAATATATATTTTTTCTGTTTTTTTTTTCTGTGTCTTTTTTTGTTTAAAAAATATATATATATATATACATAGCATTGTAGTCGTGAAACAATAGTTTCAACAACTACGTAATATTTTCAAATCGGAAAAAAATGTACGTGGAATGTAAGCAACGTTAAAAATGGGCGTGTAATTTATTTCATTTTGAATTTTCAGGGAGGAAAAAGGTAGTGAAAAATGACGCAAAACAGGTGGCGTTACGAATCGTCGTTAACTTTTTGTCAGAATTTCTTTCCATTCGTTACCATTTGAGGCCTTTATGCTTCTCATACGCTTCATTATTTTAATATTTTTGCTCAAAACTCTTTTTCTTCTTCTTTTTTTTTTTTTTCTTTTTTTCACTTTCTTTCAGTTTCATTTTACACACAAAGTGCAGCGAAGGTTTTTTTGAAGATGTTCGCTTTGAAACATTTTTTTTCTCAAATATCATTCACAAAGCCACTTTTTATATTCGTAAGAAGCGTTAGTTTTACGGACTATTCCTCATTTTTGTATAACGCGTTTAACAATGAGAGAATACTTTTTTCTCAGAATTTTTACAGAATTTCAAAAATTTGGCCTTTCTTCACATTGTCCACCGAGTTATTCAATTTCCGATTTTGTAATTAAATAGAATTTAATTACCAACACGCATTTTCCATTTTCTTCATGGGAGAGATATTTAGATCTGATATTTGAATCACATTTTCCATTCACTTTTTTCGCATTGTCCTGATATTTTATATATAAAATTAACGACGTTTCTTTTTTATTATTAAATCATACAAACCATTATATCCCTTAAAACTCTAAGAATAATACGTCTTTACTGGTATTATTAATGCTTGGTAGTGAAACAACGAAAATAAAAAAAAAAAAAGAGAAAGAAAAGAAGGAGGAGAAACTAAACTAAATTGAAAGACAGGTGAAAATTATTTTGAGAGGGAGATGCAAAGAGGATTCGAGCAAACAGTCAAAGGTATTACGAAATGAAGTTATGAATTTTTAAAAGGATCCGATACAGAGATACCGCATCGGGAGGAGAAACTTTATTATCACGTTATCCGCCTCTCTAATTACATCGACAGAGTAACAGCTTTCCCCCTCTCGTGGAAGAAACTTCAACGACCCAGATTCAAAATTTGAATATTCGATTACACCTTGTTCTTCCTTCCTTCCTTTTAAACCCTCCCCCCTTGCACTTAACCGTCCCCAATCTCTCGATATCGGTGTATTACATCCTCGATTTCAGTTTCATCAGACCATTTCACCACTGCAAAAACTTTGCGAAAAGATGTTCGAGGATCGCCTCGAGACAGATATCGCCGAGTTGTCTTTGTTATCTCGAATAACAAACCTCGCCCCGGGCGCGAATAAAGCAACGAAAGTGTCTTCCTCAACAAGTATCCTCTTCGACACGAGGATTCCGTTAATATCTGTCGCCCAAAAAATTAGGGAGGATCTACTCGCAATTCTTAATGTTTTAATAATAATTTTCTATCATGAGTTATTATATTATATATTTATATATTAATTTATATTCTAAATATTTTTATTATAAGTATTTAATTTGTTATTAGTAGATTGGTTCGTCTAAGTTGTTTCAATATAAATATCAAAGCCATGGAAGAAAACTATTCTTGTCCATTAATTTTTAAATAATTTCCGTTAGTTTAGATTGGATAATTTAAATCGGCTGATGTAGTTAAACCTAACCGACCACTAAATACCATTAAATTCTAAAACGAATCGAACATCGATGTACAGTTTAATCGACTGCTAATAATTTATAATTTTCATATAAACTGTAATTATTGACAAGAAGCGTTTCATTTCAAATTCTATCTCTCTTATCTTATCGTGTCAACGTATCGAAATTTGAGTAAAAAAAGATTCTTTAAACTACAAAAAAAGAAACACGAAAAAAAAAAAATATTGAAAATCGCGAATGGTCGCTTTATTATTAAGGCGAGGGAAAGATTTTAAGAGGCCTTTTACTCACTCATGTCATTGTCCGCGTGATGGATAACGATCTTGATACTTTCCCCGTCGACGAGGCTTCCTTGCCGTGCCAATTCACGATCCTCGGCCGCGACCCTGTTCACAGCCGACGGAGGGGCGACTTTTGTCGCGGCCGAGGAGGCCGAAGATGCCAATCCCTTTATGGCGTTTATATCCGGCCTGAAATCAAAGTGTCGCTCGTTCATTTTTACCCCGCATTGCTACATGGATGAAGGAAATAATCTAACAAACGTGGTTCTGAAATGGAAAAACGTAAAAGAGAAAAAGGGAGTAATGGAGGGAAGAACACAATTATTCGATGTTTATTAATTTTTTGAGAAAATTTTATTTCTTCAAAATTAGAGAAGAGAAACTCTAGAGTGAAACTCTTTTTTGCAAAAAGGTATATGTTTATGTAAATGGAGATGTGACTTTTGGAGGAATATATAATAATTTCGTAATAATATTTTATTATAGGTTTAAAATTCACGTTGATACGTTTTATTAATTTCGAATCGAACGTAGGCGTTAAATTCGGTTTTTTTTCGCCTCGGTTTCAATAATTAATACAGCATGTGAATCGATCGATTCGACGGGAGAACGATTCGAAATTGAACGAAGGTGCATTTTGGCTTCCCTCTACTTGAGTTTAATCGAGTTTGACCAAATGGGAAGATGCTTTAATCTTCTTAAACAAATATATAATTAGATTTTTCGAGTTAAATTTGTTTTTATATTTGTCGATTGAAACGCGCTTAAGTTAAAGAATCATTGGAACGGGGAAAACGTGGCCAGTCACGTTCGCGGTGTTTGGAGAGGAAATGATTGGAACGAGTTGGGAAAAGGAACGAATCATCGAAGAACGAGTCACGTTCGGCGTTATCTATCTGTAGCCAAAGACGAGGAATTATTACGTGATTGTATGAAGTCAAATCCATTCAAAAGACGCAGCTACGTAGCTGGTGTTTTAATGAGACGAGAATAGGAGACTTTTAAAGAAAAATCGTTTCAAATCATTTCTTTTCATATCGAAATTATTTTTCCTATACTTAAATTTTGTACGAGATTCAAAAAATCGGATCGATGAAATGAACTATTAGAAACATTTTTTTTTTCTTTCTCTCTCGATTATTGGTCCATTCGTTCAAAACACTAATTTTTGAAATACGAGAAATTTCACAGTAAAATTGTTATCTCAATATTGAAATTATTATATAGGATCAAATTATATCAATATTGTTGAATTTATATATATGTAAAAACTGTCTTGAATATTTATTGCAAATTTTTATTGCGTGAATTAGTGGATGCGATCGCTGTTTCTGTTTAATGCGATGAGACTTCGTAAAGTAAGATAAATCGTTTCAAATCATTTCTTTTTATATCGAAATTATTTTTCCTATATTTAAATTTCATACGAGATTCAAAAAATCGGATCGATGAAGGGAAATGAACTATTAAAAACATTTTCTTTTTCTTTCTCTCTCGATTATTGGTCTTTTGATTATTCGTTCAAAGCATAATTCACATAAAAAAAAAAAACAAATCGTTTCAAACATTTTTTTTTTATATCGAAATTCTTCCATACCTGAATTTCGTACGAGATTCAAAAAATCGGATCGATGAAGGGAAATAAAGTATTAGAAATATTTTCTTTTTCTTTTTCTCTCCATTATTGGTTTCTTGATTATTCGTTCAAAGCATAATTCACATCAAAAAAAAAAAATAAATCGTTTCAAACATTTCTTTTTTATATCGAAATTCTTCCATACCTGAATTTCGTACGAGATTCAAAAAATCGGGTCGATGAAGGAAAATGAATTATTAAAAATATTTTCTTTTTTTTTTCTCTCGATTATTCGAAATATTCGAAATCCATTTTAAAGCATTAATTTTCAAATACGAAAAATTTCAATAAATTACAATAAAATTACAATAAAATTATCTCAACGTTAAAATTATTTATAATATATATATTAAAATTATTATTATACACAATCAAATTATATTACTATCGTTGAGTTTACGTATACGTAAAGGCGCGACACGTATCTTGTATATTTATGCGCGAATCGAGCGTCATTGGACGCGATCGGTGTTTTCATTCTGTTCCGTTTGTTTCGAACGCGACACAGCGAGCTCAGTAGAGGAAAGGCATCGGCACGATTCACATGTACGTAACACAGTTTATCCTTATTTCCTTTATTAAATATATTCTTTCTTATTGCATATTCTTTATTTTAATCAAATCGTCTCGCAATCTATTCATTAATATCTCTACGAGTGAAAATAAGAAAAGAATGTTGTGTATAAGCACAAGTCTGCAAATAACGTTTTATTACATTAAAGAAAAGAAGTTTACCATCCTATTCTTTATCTTGTTTTCTATTAGTTCTTTCTATTAGCCGCTTGAATTGACCGATTTGAACGATACACAATCGCTTTCCTCACAGATATAAATCTCTAAATTTCAAATACAGTAAACATGAAGAAACACACTTTATAAATACCATTGTCTTATTAATTGCGTTTCGATGTAACGAACTCTCTCTATGAACTTTAGATTTCATATTTTTATTATAACTTTTTATATTTGCAGATTTAATATTTACGATTTAACATTCTTCTCTTATTTTCTTATATAAGCTGGTACATGTTTAATCCCTGTGCAATGGATTCGTATATACTATAAATATATCAAACTAATTCCAATTTCCAATGATAACGTGGATCAAACGTGTACCTATCGTATTTATAATAAAAAATTAAATGAAAAGTTACAGTCTCAACCATCAACCTTAAACAACGAACGAGCCAATTGCACTCGATATCGCGATTACAAATACGATCTCCAATTTCGTTCATCGCGAAATATATTACATTATAAGAAGGAGAAACGGCGAGCCAAAGAAAAAAAAAAAAAAAGAAAAAAAGAAGTTGCACTCTTTATCTCCTCCGCTCTTTCGTAAAATCCTAATTAATCTGCTTCTCGAACAAATCTGCAGCTCGCGAAACGACCATCCTTACTCGGAATAGTGGAAGATCGAGTGGCTTAAGCGGGAGTGGGGAGGGGGAGGTTCATGCTCGAAAAGCGCTGAATTAAGTGAAACAGGGCGTTTCGCGTGGTTTCTGCTCGACCTGCTTGGTCGAGGTTCGAGCAATCGATACGCCCGATTTGAATACGTCCACGCGGAGAAAGAGCGGAGTAGTTAAGCGTGGTTGACGAAGAGAGGAAAAGAAAAGAAAAAAAAAAAAAAGACGAGGGAAGAGATGATGATGGAGGAAAAAA